ACAGGATGTCATTTCATATTTCACTTTTGAAGGGCTGTTCTCAGAAAGGTTCAAATAGCCTTTCAGCTACATTTAGGATTAATATTTCTTGCTTTAAAAAATCTTCCTCAAAGACTCTGCATTAATTATTGTTTGAGGAATAGTGGGAAGGTAGATGCTGAGCCTTTTTGGTGCCAAAAATCTAAAAAGCCTTTTCTTGGGTAAAGACATTCCACTACTTCCCTGCTGCCTCTTGCCAAACATCAGAAAGCTGTTTCAGAAATCTCCCTGTAAGTGGATGGCATTCTCTCATACTGTTTTGTTGACTTTTTATTTCCATCGGTTGCCATGCAGTTAATACTGATTAATGAATAGTTTGAAGCTCTTTGATTTGAAATGTTGTATTCAGTTTCAGTATCTTACCATGCCTTTGAAATAGCACGAAATACTCAGTTAAATAAGAAACTATAAATATTATCAAAGTGGTGCAAATGATCATTTTCAGAGAGGAACAAAGTAAAACAGGTTGGCCTGGAGATCAAATGGGAGAGTTCCACACGGGAGGTGGCTGCTGGATTGATGGCAGACTCCACTTCCACACCCCTTGCTCTCTGCTCTCCACCCATCCATCTTTTTGGTTATCACATTGATATATTATTCTCACTGTGTTCCTTTGTCATTGTTTATTTTATTGTTCCATTATTTTTTTATTTCGGTTCTGTTTACACTCCTCTCATTTTCTTCCTTTTTATTATTATAAGCCGGGTAGGGTAGCTCCACAGTGAGATAAGTGGCAAATAAATTTAACGAATAAATAAATATAAATAAATAAATAAAGCATCTGGCATTCGTTAGCATGTAGATCCATTGCACCATTCGGTAGGATAGTGGTTCAATGAGGCATGCAGGAAAATAGATTGCAAATTAATATACAAGACTGTGAGTTTTCCAGAGCATTTAATTAGATCAAACAAAATGAGAAAAAAAAAATTCTGATGCTGAAACCGTCAAGCCTTTATTTAAAACTAGGGCAGCCATTTGTATATTACTGAAAAGTGGACAACATGGAATTTGGGGTCATCTGTTGCCAGGACAACTCCATGTGCCCAGGGCTGGTTTTTGACATTTTGGCAACTTGGACACAGTCATATTCTGGCACTCCGTATGCTTCGGCTCATCTTCCAATTTTGTTAGGAATTTCAGAAAGACAGTCTTGTTTCTTTTATTTTCTTTTGAGTCTTTGAAATTTATGCTTATGATTTTCAGCTTTAGACAATTTTTTCCCCTCAGATATTTTCAACCTATTTACAGTGAATCACAGTAATTTTAATTACATCAGCACCCATTGCAGTCATATGGCAACAATTCTGCAAAATTATATTTAACCCCCAAGCGGGTGTTCTGGCATACAGAGTGTGCTGTTTTCGCTTTTCCAAGTATAACTTTGATAAACAAATAGTCACACAACCCAGTCACTTAGGATCTTTCTATCAGACCTTTATCTTGCTTCAATAATATTATCATCTTCCTGAAGTCCATAGATGTAAACATGATTTCTTTTTCATGACTTGTAATGTCTGGTTAGTGATTGTTCACTACCACTCGAGTGACCTTGTGGGTGTTTTTGAAAAGTGTAAAAATTCTAAAGCAACAAGCAAAGATTATCAGATTTTGTATGCATATTGAGTATCATGGAAGCCTTTTCAAGTTTAGTCCCTCCTACAATTTGGCACCTAGAACACTGCCTAGGTTGCCTAGGCCTAGAACCAGCCTTGCATGTGACTAACAAGTAGAAAATATCATTATCTGGATTAAAAAAAAATACTTTTTTCATACAAAGACCTAATTTGTTTATGACATTTCTGGTTACTATTGGTTTAGGGAGCTTTAAAGGAAATTAGGTAGAGAAGGGTGTTCTTCATATTTAAACAGACGCTTCAAGCTTAGAGGCAACATACCTCTGTATGCCAGGTGTTCATGTGCAGCAGTGGAAAAGGGTGCTTGTCCTTATTATGGGATATTTCTGAGATCAGAGTGCTGAATTAGATAGGCCTTTTTGTCTCATCTGCCCAGCAAGATTCTTATGAGTTTATCAATAATGGGAAATTCTTTCCTACCCTGACATGTAATTGAGTGAAAAGAGGTGGAAAGAAAAAAAAATCTTAAAAGCCCCAGGGTATTCAATTTTGATTTATATTGATTTAAGGAAAATACTTCATTTATCAAAACAAAAGGGAATAGCAGTTTTACTTTCACTTGAAATCGCAGTAGGGTGGTGTACATACACACACACACACACACAAACAAACACATTTCTAATGTTCCTCAATCTCTGCTGATTTTATGAAATTATTCATGCACCTTAACATGAAGTGTTTCTATGGAAACTGAGAAACTGAACTTTCATTAGGAAATCTACTAAAGAGAAAGAGAGAGAGAAAGAGCCCAGCTAAAAATATAAATTGCCTTCTGCAGGAGGATACATGAATATTCTTGTTGCTCTCTCCTCTCCCTCTCCCTCCCCCCCCCACCTTTCCATTCTGCATCGTGGGCAGATCCCAGCTGGACTATACACAGCAATAACATGAAGGCATTGTTTACCACTTGCCAGACTCTGTAGGGAGATATAAAATTCTGCCAGAGCTTCGCAACTCTCAAGGGGAGGTTTCTTCAAGGAAACAGAGTGTTCGGTGCTGTGTGTCATACTAGCTTTCCAGAGTCAAAAATGCATAGCTCTTTTTGGGGGACTGTGATTTTTCATCCAATCCAGAGAGATCTGAGGCTGTTACTTTTTTGTATAAATGTTCCTTCCCCCATGTCAGCCCTCCTGTAAAGAAGCATTGGGTGAGATAAAGGAAAATTTCAGTGTTAATGCTGCCTGACTCCTCATCCGTAGCACAGCAGCTGGCACCCCTCTCTCACCCCATTTCCAAATCTCAGAAGAGCTGGATCTACGGGCATCATCCCCTTTGCCCACTCCCACTTCAAGTGAATGTCACTGGCTTGGGACCAAAATTCATAAAGACGTGCCTTCCAGACTTTCTATGTTTTGAAATCTACTATTGAGCCCTTCTTCCTTATTTTTCCTTAACAAAAATAAAATATGGAAATCAGCAATAAGAAAAATAAATAAGAATAAGTGTTTGGAGGGGGTAGAGCAGTACCTCCATAAAAAAGTACAGGTAGTCTCCAGCTTACGACCACAAGTTCAGTGTTGAACCATCGTTAAACAAACTGTTGTAAACCGAGGATTACTTGTAAGACTATCAATTTTAAATCATTTCTGTCTTCCTAGGCACCTTGAGAAAGATCCAAATCTGCTCTGGTTTTTTACTTGGGTCCTTCATTTTATTGTTAACTAGATGACCCATGACCCACTGAGTAATTGTTTCAGAGATGTTTCCTGCACTTTGAACTGCAGAACAGAATGACCAGAGACGGACAAAAAAGCAGTGGGTGCAGGAGCAACTTCCAACTTCTTGCGAGCTTCCCCATTGACTTTCCTTGTGGAAAAATGACAGGGAACATTGGAAATGACGACCATGTAACCACAACTGTCCATGGCAGCTTGGCAGCTGCAACTTTGTCAATTTGAATCCCAGAGGAGTAAGAGGTCCCAGATTTTGGACACATTCTTTAAGTGATGCATTGTTTTGCCCAATTGAAGATTATAGACAAACAGAAGTATTTTAGTAATATATAAATGCTAGAATCTGTGTTCAAGCTTGCTGTTTCCTATATAAATACAATGCAGTAAATTGTTGTTCATGATTATTCTTCCAAATTTATTGGATGAAGGACATTAGGCAGATACTTCAAACATCTTGATAGACAAGTTGTCCAACCCACAGCAACTGGGCTGGAATCAGGACCTGGTATCTTTGGCAATGGGCAGAGCCATCACTACTGCCAGCTTGACCTAGGCTAACAGCGGTTGTAGTCTAAGATATCTGATGTGTGGATCTGAGTAAGAGGAAGCTCTTTAGAATTCAGAATATTTTCTTTTGTTAAAAAAAATTAAGATGATAAAAAAGAAGTTGTCTTTCTCTTGGTCATCCTAAGAGAGACTTTGATATTTTGGTATCTTTCTGTCAGTCGAGGGGCCCTTCAGTTGTTGAAAAAAACCTGGCAATGGGCCTGTGTTCACACAAGTCTTTGGACCGATTTCCTCATATACATTCTGGGAATGTTTGTTAGAATGCATTATGGAAGATAATGCATTATAATATTATTATTATAGTCTTACAGTCTTAATGCATCTGGGAGATATTGGGTTGGGGAATACTGGTTTTATTCTTCAGAGTTAAGAATACACTTCTGTCTCAGAGTACAACAATGCAATGCTTTTCACTGCTGTGAATGTTCCAAAAGCAGAATGTTCCATAAGCTTGGGGGATGTTCCTATAAGACATTTTTTGTCCAATGTGCCATCTGTGTTCTTATGGCCCAAATCAACATCAAGTACCAGGACATGGTGAAATTACTGGAGAATTTTTCAGTATTTCTAGACACTCCATCGCTGAACCGAGGATTCTTAAAAATATCAAGGGAGAGTTGGAATGAAAATTTGAGAAATCGGAGTTCATTAACGAAGCAAAAAACATCAGGCTACAAGCTAAAGAATATACTGCTTATGTTTAAGGAAGTCATTCGGAGTACCTTGTCATTATACTTGTACTTTGTATTTGAGAACAAGGGCTATATATAGCTCAGTAGTACAGCTCATGGTGTCCAGGTTTAGTTCCTGGAATCACCAAATCAGTCTGAAGATGATTCTGGGTGAAATCCAAGAAAGAACTACCATAACTTGCCTGCAAAACTCTTTGGGCAATCACAATAATTATCGTTTTTTATGTCACTTCACTGTGATCTTGCAGTCTACACAGGTAATCCTAATCTGGCAAAGCCTTTGACAATATGGACTATTGGTCTGATTCAGTATCTTCTTATTTTCCTGTTTCTAATTCATCAAACAATTAAGTTTTGTGGTTGTTAACACTGTGTTTACTTTTCCTTGGCAGGGACTGGTACTCAACAAGCTTGGGCGACGAAATTTGGCTCAGAAGGTTCTGCAGGATGCAGTCCAGATACAGAGTACCAGCCACAAAGCCTGGAACAGCCTTGGAGAAGTCCTTCATGCTCAGGGCAAAAATGAAGCTGCTGTTGAGTGCTTTCTGACTGCTTTGGACCTTGAATCCAGCAGCCCTGTCATTCCGTTTACAGTTATTCCAAGGGAATTGTGAATGTTTAGTATTAACTCATCAAATGTGTTCTGTGGAGAAAGTTTAGGTGATAAGCAGTCAGTTTACAGATGTGTGTGTGTGTGTGTGTGTGTGTGTGTGTGTGTGTGTGTGAATAAAGAAAAGCTTTATTCATGGTAATGATTCTGTTTCAAGAATATCACATTTTCCTTGCACTCAAAGCTCAAGATAGCTAGTTGATGGGAAAATGTTATTCTATAGCAATTAGACCTGTTGCAATTTGAAATGCTGCCTAGGTACAGTGCAGTCTCAGCTACAGCTATGTATGGAAGTCACAAGAGGCTCATATTCTTTTAATCTGCTTCTTACCTTATACTGCAAGGAATCAGTGGTGGATAAGTGAAATGCCTCTCAAGCATGGGCTGTACTTAAGCATACTGGTTGTCAAGTCTACTTTACAATGTGATTATGCTAGTACCTAATGGATAATATCTGTGGTATAAACTACACACAACATCTCTGCCCTTTGTCATGTTTCCATCCATTGAAAATTCAGTACAAGAAAACAAAAACTTCTTAAATTCACTCTTGGCACAATACTTGAGCTCTGACCATTTCAGCTGATTCACTACCAGATTCTAGCTTAATTCATTCATAGCATTAAGGTATAACATATCTGTTTGGTTGGGTTACTTTGTTTTGCTTTGAAGACTATTGTTGATCTCCCATTTGAGATGTCAGTTAGTCAGACTTACAAGAGTTCTCATTCCATTCTTTTAAGACTTATATATAGGAAATATATGGTTTAAAAAGGGTAAGAATGTCAGGTGGAACACATTTTTCATTCCTTGCCTTATTGTGGCATAGGATAGCAAGAAAAAAAATATGAAATTGGAGAAAATAATAGGCATTTCCAAGAATACCAATAGAAGAGAATATTTGTAGTTCAGGGTTGAACTGTGGGGTCCCAGGTTCTCTGGCAGTTTGTTTGTTTCCTTGCACTGGCAGGGCAAGCCCCTTGAATGTAAAATGAGAACAAATTCCACTCCCTGCTAACAGTGATGATGTTACCTCATTTAGTAATGAAACATCTGCAAGAAAATAGCCAAGTTCAGAAACCATTAAGAACTCCACATTTCCAAAATATTTTATTAATAAAAATAAAAAAAAACGGAGGAACTGAGTTTTAAAATTTCAGCAAGGATTCTGTTCTAGCTCACAAGACGTTTTTGGACATTAAGATACAAGGCTACTGCTTGAGACACTGACAAGGACACATCTCTTACAATATCTTCTTTAAGAGTATTCCACAAATGCTCCATAGCTGGGGATCATTACAGTTAAAGATAAGTCATTGAAAAGTCACCAAAAATTGCTTGTACAAAGCAAGTACTATGGTGGAGATGTTGGGATGCACAAGGGACAAAATTATTATACAGTATATGTGAGTTAGGTCTTCCTGGGTTTGGGACCTATTGCAGAACATTATTACAATGTTCTAATTTTTAGGCTAAATCAGTTTTGTTTGTGCTCAGGGATGTATAGAATAAAAGTATAGTTATTGTGCAAGAGCAATAACTTGATATAACTGTAGCTTCTTGGTTCCTTGTATCATTTTAACCTTTTGTTCCATTAGTAGTACATAACACAAATCGAGAACAATATGTTATTCCGTGTAAATGACCTCTTGCCTCTTAAAATTTTCTTTCCAGTTTAGAGGAGACTATCTAGAAGACCCCTTTTACTAATATTTCAATTGCATTGGTATTTACTTTTAATTAGGCTGCTATGATCATTCTAACTGATCACATGTACTTTATCTGAGCTAGTTCATTTTCCCATAAAATATACTATCAATAACTGGATTAGATAACATAGGTGTGAGCACCTATGGTATGACTATCCAAACTTACCTGCTGCTTCTTTCTTTTTAAATTTCAATTCAAAGCGGGATTGGACTGATTTTTTTCTAGTCTTTAGGGACAGAAAGCATCTCAAAGTTCCAGTTTTTAGAAGATAAAGGCCCTGTTTTATCTCATATGCATAATCAAGGTGCTGAATAAGTAATACAAGACTTGAATTTGGATAGCACAAACATTTGGCAGGGTACTGCATAATCAACTAAACTATTTTTTCCAGACTGTATCTCTCAAATACAGGACCCTTCCCAAATGTCCTTTCTCCATTATTGCCCCAGTGGCAAAACTGGGGCATGACAATTAATTGGCAGGAAATAATTAAGGCTTAATATGGCTGTGATGACTCATCACCTGGCAACCACCATTTCCCTCCTTGGTAACCCAGTAAATGATACCATATCTTCATAAAGCAGCGCTCCAGTGAAAAATAAGATGAGGTTGAAGAAGGCAAACACAATCAGGATCCATGTAAGACTAGGACCAGACATTCTTGGATATCTGTTTATTATCCAATAAACTTCACATTTGTGCATGACAGCCTCAGTAGTGTTTTAATGGTTATGAAACTCTTCATATTCTGTATAGTAGCGTACATAAAATATTGAATCCATTAAACTCTGAAGATTGGGTGTGTTTAAATAGTTGCAATTTGGTGTATTACCATAGATGCTATCTTATTTTATTTACAGCCTGCTATTCTGGAAACTATTGTTATTTATTTATTAAGATTATTATTTGGGCTCCCTTCAGCCAAATATAGTTTCGATTAGATGCCACTGACAGAAATAATGCTGTATCTAGTTATTACAAATCTATTCCATTAATTTATATAAGACTTTGTCAAAACTCCCTTTTGTTGCAGTATGCGTTTTTGCAAAGGAGAAAATTTACAACCCCTGCCAGGGATGGGTTGTTTTATAGGGTTTTTATTATAGGATGGATATTTTAAGTTTTGTAAGCTGCCCTGAGTCACTTATTGTTGGTTGCTATATAAATGCATTGGATGGATGGATGGATGGATGGATGGATGGATGGATGGATGGATGGACGGACAGATGATAGATACATCTTACTAGCTGAGGCCACTTTGAGTTACAGTTAGGCAATATCTGGAGAGTCATAGATAACCACTCCATCTTAAAGAAAGTATAAAAACATGAAAAAATTAATTAACTATGTAAACATGATTAATTAGGAACTTTTCACTGATGAATATGTGGGGCTTGAAGGTCATTAGTTGCTTAGAATACTTCAGTATATTATAAACAATTTTGCCACTTTTGCTCTTATGTCCACAATTCTAATATGTAATATTTTCCAAAAAGTACTACATCATATCATATTTCATTTGCAAGCCAGTCTGCAATGCCTTTGAAATTTGATACGCCGTTTCACAATCAGACATGACAACACTGAATTTGACACAGCTTTCACTAGATGAATAAATAAATCCCAGGGAGGAAGATGTGTTGCACATGTACAGTCATTTCCTGCTGCTTTTCATTCTTTGCAAAGTATTCATCAGGGTTCACAAATCAAATCCTGAATGTTGCCTTCAGTGTCCTATTTGCTGCAAAAGCCAATTTAATATATTCCTGTGGGGTTCATATAGAAGGTAAAGGGGAATATCCAGGAAGAATCAAGGTTGGTATCATATTATGAAATCAAACCATAGAGTTAGAAGAGACCATTTAAACTCCAGAATAGGAATTCAAAGTATCTCTGACAGAAGGCTGTCTCATGGAGTTCTCCATCTTTCTTGAGTAATTATTTACATGATAAAATTTATATTGCAGTTTTTTCCAACATTAATTTGGCATATGCAGTTCTTTTATCATAAATATGTTGTTTCATGCTCTACCCTCTAAGCTAATAAAGAATTTGGCCTTCTTTAAAGTGACCTTCTTTCACTTATTTGAAGAGTGCTATCATATGCCATTTCAATTTTCTCAAGGTTAAACATTTCCAGTTAATGTAATTGCCAATCGTAGCTTTTAGTTTCTACTATATAAGCTGATCATTCTTACTGCATTCTCTGAACTTTGTCTTGAATCCTGTAAGTATGAAACAAAAAAAATGGATTTAATACTAGAGGTAAGTTCTGATCAATACAGAATAACCTGATACCATGTTTCACATGATTTGGACTATTCTTATGTATACTGAATTTGTCTTTTTGGCAGCAACATGGCACAGCTACTCAGTTTGTAATAATTCAGTATTCAAAAATCCTTTTCACAATTAAAATTACCAAGTCAAGTGATTCTTATCTTATGCATTTGATTCTGTTGTTTTAATTCCACTGTTCTCCAGTACAGGAGACGGAGACTCCACCAATGGGTTTTCTTTGTCTGCCTGCTCTTGAGACCAAGTATCCAAAACTTGTCACGCCCCCTCCTACTGGTAATCCAGTCTTAACTTGGTCTCCGCTCTTGATGACTCGTTTTGGCTTGGCTCTCTGCTAGATCAGGTTAGACAATTATTAATCCATTGGTGAAGTCTCCCTCAAATATTGGCTATCTCTAAAAAATTCATACTTAAATCAGGGATTAATGCAACTTCCCTCAGGCTGATAGCAGCTTGTTGGAAGTGAGGGGTGAGGAGGGGGGTGGAATTTCCCTTCCTTCATCTCTCCCAAATTCTCAAATTAAAGTGGGGGGGGAGGTAAAAGATCAACAGAGACTGCTTGTTGATTTTTTCTCCACCTGCCCAGGTTTTTTCCCTCAGACATCTTGAGGGAAACAGGCAAGATCAGGACTCCTCCCAGGCCTTTCCAGACCTGTCGGAGTCCATTTCAACCGTCGAAATCTTGCAGCCACCATTTTGGCTGCATTTTCGACGTTTGATTATTCAGCAAAACAACGAATTCCTTCGTTCCCAAATTGCAGCTACCTTGCTGTTAATGATTTCCCTGGGCCTGACATTGCCCCACAGGGTCCCTGGCAGGCCATAGGATCGCCGGAGGCCTGTTTTCGGCCTCTCTACAAGTTGCGGCCGCCATTTTGGCCGCATTTTCGGCGCTCGAAAATTTGCCTTTAAAACTTCAACTTTTCGGCCTGCGACTGTTTTGAAGTTCCCCTGCCCACTGTGACACTCTGCGGGTCTCTGACAGAGGGCTAGAACTTTAGGAGGCCTGTTTTCAGCCTCCCGAAAAGTCGCGGCCGCCATTTTGAAGTTGCGGCCGCCATTTTGGCCGCGTTTT